CAGCGACCGACAAGCGCAGAATCCGTCCCGTCTGTCATACAGTTTTCGAGGCCTCTTGGCAGTGCATCGGTTCTTATTTCCTGTCTTATCTCTCCGAGCCTATTGTGCGTAATCTCCCTGGAGTCTAATGATTCCAGCGGCCTTTATCGCAAGAGACTGCTAATGAATTAAAGACCGTTTTCAGCTGCTCTTCTGTAGTTGATAAACATATCTGACTAGCGCCAAACCGTTCATCGATAGCGCAGTGGCTAACGCTGTGGCCTCCGAGACCGCAGGTACCGAGTTCAAATCCCGGTTGCACAACTTTTGTGAACGAGTTTTTTATAACAAATTGGCTCATTGCTGATGATTTTCAAACTCTTCAATCAGTTCTAGAGTAGTGCAGGATGTTTTCAACAATTGTTAGAATGAAGAATTTGCCAATTATGAAGTAAAATAGGAAACGACTCAGCCGTTTATAGTTTTCGACGTAGATCTCGGAGAAAAGTTGTCAAGTAGGGAGACTTGTACAGATGGCCGGACGATTGCAAATATCTTTTGATGGAGAATTTGTGGTATACTTCACCGGTGCGAATGAGAAGACTAATCAGTGGTGCTGTTCCTTGAAGAATTCGGGTAGAATCTTCCTCCTGATACCGTGGGAAATAACGTCGAGATCCGAAAAGTCCAATAATGATAGAACTTTCGAGTTGGTGTACTTGTAATCCAAATCCAAATGATACGTTGTCAGTTCGCAATTTATTTCCACGCGACGTTCAGTCTGCCCTATACTATCAAGTAAATTCGACGAAAACTCGGAGAGCTGGGGATACGACTCAAATTCGAAGGACGCAACTGCCCCCACCGCGGCTGTCCTGACGATCAGTTCGGGTGCAAGTATAACCTAGAAGAGAGAGTTCGGAGTCAGCTACGGAAGCTGATGCCCATGTCTCAGTAGATAAAACAATATCTGGAAGATGGACGAACACCAGAGTCTGAAGCAAAGGCATCTTATTTAACAGGGATCTGGCATTTTGAATAAAACGTTTGAGAGGAGCGGCAGTTAGTATCTGAGTGTGGTGGGCTACGTCGACTAGTGCTTGGCTGCCCACGGAACACACGGTCCGGATTTACCCATCCGGTTCTGCAAAAAAATCTGTGGCATCAAAAGATACTTACGTGGATAAAAAGGGGTAGGACTTGGGGGAGGAAATGACAGACAGGGAAGCTAGAAACGATTGTTAGCTAACTCATTTTCAGCTGAAAATCCACGAGCCAAATAATGCAACGTATTTCCGCCGGAACGAAACCGAGGATCGGATGAGTTAACTGACCCAGCATGGACATTAGCGTGAGGAATGCATTGGTAAAACGGCCGTTGAGGAAAAATGATGGGGGGTGGGGTGCACCGCTTCCATTGGAGCAGGATTTCTATTAAAAGGCAGGAATGTCGGCATAGTCGGCCTAACCGCCTCGATAAGAGGGCTGCGGGTAGGTGAAAACACGCTACGTTTTGGGTGGTGGTATTTGAGGCAGTATTAGGCGATTGCGGAGGAAAATATTCCATAATGGAACAGGATTTACCCGGTGCCTGAGTGGCTGAGACGGCATTTAGATTGGCCTTGGATTTAGACACATGCTTAAGCTTGTTAGGGGGTTGCTAGGAGAGTCAGTAGGGGCGTTTTTATACCAGGCGTGTTGATACGTTTAAAAATCTCAGCATCAAGAGTAGACAAATTCCCTACGGAATTGTCTATGCCGTGACGTGCAGAGGCCGCAGATGATGAAGAAGAAGACTTTTTCAAACTGACAATAGGTGTCATTATGTCGGTGATGGTTTTTGACAATTTAAATTTGTTCAATCTTCGTTGCATTGGTGTGAGGTCCGGCGAAACTGAGCAGCGCCATGTACGACAGAATTCTCTAGTTATCTCCCTCCTCGACAAGATAAAATCGACTTCTGTCAAGGAGAAAAGGGTGACTAGTATCGACGCATTACGGCTGAGCGAGCACAGTTGTCTAGCTTGTGCGGCACTGAGATCCAAGCCGCAACTTTGCAGGAAATATGCGCTCCCTCTATAGCAGATAAGTGACCCGGAATGTTTCGCAGTATACAATTATGCTTGCGTTTTATTCCCTCCTGGGTTTCAGAGCTTATTACTCCAATAACTTTGAACCTCTGTTCAAAGCGCTGCTTATGTCGCCATATATAAACTGATCGTGTATTTCGTTGGCTGATTTTCCGTTACGACTAGCAGAGGCGTAGTTTTAGACGATTTAGTGGTCCAGTGGTTCTACATGGACTCACGGAATTTTCTGAGTTAACCATATCTGTAGAACGCAACGAAAATATGCTGACACCTGCTTAGTCTCCGGCCACGATTCTAGCACTGAGAGACGGCGGGAAGGCTGCAAACTTTTGTCTTTTAGCACGTGCTTTTTGGGGCATTACAGAGTACTAGATGGGTTTTCTTTTGCAGTACAAGGATCGAAACGTTGTTAACATGCAACAAAACGCACAGAATAACAAATTCAACCGTAAGTTTGCTTTAAAACTAGAAATAGACAGTCTTACACGGAATCACTAAGAGGTACTTCACAAAATACGGCTATTTTACCAGACTGTCTGACGAAAGTGGAAAAAATAATACCCGACAGTGAAAAACGACTTTTTAAAAGGACTCGAGTAAAAAATAGGCATTAATTGCTTAAGAATATCAAAGTATTAGCAAAACTTCATTCGTCTTTGAAATTGAGCTGCGCACCTTCAAGTTGAGACCAACGCCGACCTCGACCTCTCGCTCTCTCTCCAGGAAACCATCAGGATCTTGCAGCATCTAACCAGCGGGGAAGCGCCAAGATCAGACGCAATCCCTGCCGAGGTCCACAAGCACAGTGGCCCAAACTCACGAATAATTTGACGGCGCTCTTCCAAGAGACGTGGCATCAAGGAACGGTCCAACAGGATTTCGAGGACGCCACAAACGTCCATCTCTATAAGCTGAAAAGTGACCGCCAGATCTGCGAAAAAACATCGAGGTATCTCCTTGCTGTACATCACCAGGAATCTTTTCGCTCGTATTCCCATCAACCACCTTAACCGCCATCTGTAATAGTGTCTCTTGCCAGAAACCCAATGCGGCTTCCTTCGTCACTGCGGGACCACGGACATGATCTTTGCCGTCCGTCAACTGCACATGAAAGGCCAGGAGATGCGGACCCACCTCTCCTCTACTTTCGTGGATCTGACGAAAGCCTTCTACACGGTGAACCACGAAGGACTGTGGAAATCATGCAGTAACTTGACTGTCCACGAACGACTCACCCAGATGGTGTGTATGCTCCATGATGGCATGATGGCTCGAGTCACGGAGAGTGAAGCTGTCTCCGAGACATTCACTGTGACCAATCAACGGATGCCCTTCCAGTCGCGAGTATCCACAACTGCCGTCCGTATACTTCTTTTTTTCGACGACCACGTCCTCAACGCCACCTCGGAGGGAGACAGACAAAGGAGCATGTACCTCTTCGCCGCCTCCTGCGACAACTTCGGCTTGGTCACCAACACGGAGAAGACGGTGGTCATGCATCAACCGCCACCCGACGTTGCCCCGATCTCCACTACAACACCAAACTGAAGATGTGCAAGGCAGTCATCCTACAGATACTGCTATATGAAGCAGAGACCTGGATTGTCTACGCGAAGCAAGCTCGGAGACCCAATCATTCCCATCTCAGCCGTCTTCGACAAATGCTGAAGCTGAGCTGACAGGACCGGATCCCCAACACGGATGTACTTGAGCGGACGGGAATCTTCAGCAGCTACGCTATGCTGAGACAATTGCAGCCGCGTTGAAGAAGCCAGCACGTACGAATGGACAACGAGTGATAACCCAGACAACTTTTTTGCGGCAATTTCGCCACGGGTTCCCGCGGACAGTGACGCAAAGTCCGCCATTACAATGACACTCTGAAGACTTCCCTGAAGCGTCTGCGGATTAACCCGGTCAACTGGGAAGAACTCGCACGAGACCGATCGACCTGAAGGAGAACAGTGAAGACAGGCGCAGCGATCTAGGAAGCCGACCGAATCACCACCGCCAAAGCCAAACGCGAGGTTCGCAAATCTCAACTGCGCACAATTCTCAACTCCAACGCTCAACCAACCCCGACTCGCCCACCTTGCCAGCGGACGTTCCGAGCACCACTCGGCCTTGCAGGACATCTTCGTATAACCTGCAGTACCCGGACTACAACGGCTGCTTTCCCCTCATCCGACCCTGCCTCATCTTCCACGTCAACAACTAACACTGGCTGTAATCCTGGGCCCCAACTACCACTCTTCTCATCCCCCTCCTCCTCCTCCTACGCCTCCATTGCCTCAACATCCGCTGCGGCAGCTCCTGTACCCACCGTTAATGCACATAATTCTGACACACCAACAAATATCAACCCCCACTAAAAACGCCAGCGATGTGGACTTGATCCATACCTGTTCTCATTTCGACCGCACCTTCACCTCACCCATGGGTGTTGTCGGTCGCTTTCGAATTCATCGCACGGAGACTTGCAAACCAATGCCTGGAGCATCCACGTACACCAGACGCATCCGCCTCAACTGGCCTCACTGCCCACAGCACATTTGCTTACTGTATGGGCCTATTAGGCCACTTGTGCATTCCTGAAGACCTGCGGTAGACAATCACCGGCTTCACCACATTATCTCATCTTTCTTCACCTACATCACGCAACATCGTCATTCACCACAAGCATCCGATCGCCACCGCCCACACAAGTGGGAAATGTGTGTTTCGGCTCTGGCTCCATGCGGCCCCTACTGCATGTGTGATTTGAGTCTGAGACCATCAGGACGAGTCAAGTGCGGTGGCTTAGAAGGTCACTGACTGACGCCCAAACCCAGTCCACGCAGTCCGTCCAGGTGCGTGTGCGTGTTTGTATGAAGTGGCAGACTGGTTAGCTGAGAGCGTGGCCGAAACAGCTCCTTCCACAGCACAATCATAGAATAAATGTATTTTAGCGCCCCTTGGGCACTGCTAGTCTCCTTTGAACTCAGGAAAAAACCTAAAACAAACTCATCCATTTCGACTGCACGTTGACGTCATGTGTTTGCGTATCTGTTTAGCTAATAGATCGCGAATTGAGAGTTTGTTTTAAATTAAAAAACCTGAGTTCCAAGGAAAAATATTCGCAAAAGTTTTAACAAGGAACGATATGTACAATATAAAAATTGAGGTATACAGTTAAATAGTTTTGGGGGACATGGATAATATGTTCCTCATGGAAAGTGAAGAACTTTGATGCCAGCCTCACGTTGAAGTTATTTTCGAGTTGAATAAATTTGGGTGTCTTGCAATTGTCCGTTTGTTATAGCCGTAGAGCTGACCAGGGATCCGACCTTGGGTGTTTTAATGAACTGTCACGTTAGAGGCATTTTTCTCCCGTTTACCTTGCAGGAGCTACGCTTCCGAAACCTCCGAATCCTCCCGATAAGTCGTTCCATCGTATTTTTCGTTTTTTCGTAGCCTCGTTTATTAGTTTTCCATCTTTGTTTACCCGAATAAACTTGTATCTTTTTATCACCTGTGTTGCTTATCCCATGTCCCATAAGCCTGTTCATCCCGATTCCATTCACTCTGAGATGCAAGGCCTTTTAGACGGGATTTTTCAATCGGCTGGACCATTTGAGTTCAAGTTACCATCATCTCCTTCCTTCGTAACCCGTGATTCGACATCCGTCTCTCGCTTGGTCACTACAGTGGTGTCAGCGATGGGATCCCACCCGTCCCTCACTCCGATGTCCTGGTTACCCACTCCCTACTTCTTAACCCTACGATCGATTACGCGTACACCCTAGGACCCAGTCCCTTACTATCTCCCGAACCGTACGTCTCTAACCGCAATATGCATGATTGGCTTCGCCATTTGGGTCTATTTCTAGTTACCTTCCCCACCAACCAACGCACCTGCTATTTGATACGTTCTCTTTCTACCTCAGCGCATAAAAGTGTTTTCGACGCCGGAATCGACCACACGTTGCCGTCCGACGTGGCTTGTGGAACCATTTTACGGCTGTTTGACACGCTGTCCTCTACAGGAATGGCCGCCGAACGATTCGCCGCTTTAAGACAGGTGCGTGATCAATCGGTCAATGATTTCGCGAACGAACTGTCTAACCTCGTCCTATTGGCATTCCCCACCGGACCGCGACACCCTCATCCTGCATCGTTTTATAACTGGACGCTGCCGGCATCATCCTTCTCCATCCCTACCAGTTTAGTCGCCGTGATACAACAATGTCGGCTGTATACCGTTTACCACAAAGAGCTTAGACCGACCCCAGTGCCCGCTGAAGCTGATCTCCGTCCCGAATCATGACCGCTCATCCGGAAAGCACCCCTAACCGTGCGTTTTCCTCGCCATAAGCCCGACTGTGAATACTGCGCGGCATTTGGCCCCGACGCCCGCCACTGTGGCCACAATCCCCCCGTAAGTCGGTTCTTCATGCTTTTATTTCTCTTTCTGATCCATCCTGCTCCCCCACGTTTGCGATTAATATTTTACTTAACAACCAGCCGTTACCAGCCTTAGTCGACACCGGTGCCAACGTCTCCCTTATCAATGTTCGTAAGTTGCCGCGAGGTTTCCGTAGGCTTATAGAACCGTTACCGACGCCCCGCAATTTGTGGGCCGCTAACGGGACTAGTTCCCCTATTTCTGGTAGTATCAGCCTACAGTTCGTCGTCAACGATTCCGCTCTGACAAATTGTTTTCTAGTAACCCCAGTTAGCCCTTGGACGATCGTGCTCGGGCCTGACTCCCTCACAGATCACGACTGCACCATTTAAATTCGGCGTAAACGCCTAGTGAATGTCTCAACCATCTCCCATACTGCAACATCATCCCCATCAGACGATCTCCACTTCGCATATAATGCCGTCCTTTCGGCTGCCCCCCCCCCCTAGAGCTACGTTCTACGCTCCCCTTCAACAGTCGGCCCCGTCGCCCATAAGCAGCCAAGCGACCTTCTCGCCTCGTTTTCCGACCTGTCCTCCTGGTCCACGGATACCATCGGTCGTACACGACTTGTGCAACATACCGTTGACATGGGAGACGTCAGAACCATTTGGCAACCCCCTCGGCGTATTCCCGTTCGTTACCATGATGAGGTCTATAAGTTTTTAGACGAGCTGTTACACGCCAAGACTACCCAACCGTCCACCTCCCCATTGGCTTTGCCCATTGCGTTAGTTCCCAAGAAAGATGGTTCCCTGCGTCCGTGCGTCAGCTATCGCCACCTTGACGCAATGACAGTGTGAGATTCGTTCCCGCTGCCGAGGTTAGACGATACAATAAATGCGCTAGGCCGGGCTGCTTGGTTCTCAACCTTTGATCCCATGTCGAGCTACTGGCAAGTGCAAATACACCCGAACGACCGTCACAAGACAACCCTCACTGCCCTTCAGGGTTTGTTCTAGTTTCAAACCCTCCCTTTCGCAGCAGCCACCATTTAATGTTTAATGTATCGTGTACTCCGCCACCCAATCCTGTATAAATGCCTCGTCTCTCTAGATGACATTATCGCATTCGGGCGTTCTACAAACGAACACAATTCAAACTTACGGAAGATTTTAGAGGAAGTCCAGGAAGCTGGCCTTACCCTCAATCCCGCTAAATGCCTTTTCCTCCGTTCCGAGGTCCAGTTGATTGGCCACCGTATTTCCCCCGGATGTATGTCACCCCTGCCAGATTGAATCAAACACGTACGTACATGGCCGACGAACCAAACTGAACTGCGGAGTTTCCTCGGCCTCGCATCGTACTACCGACGTTTCATACGACATCTCGCCCAGATTGCTGCGCCCCTTCACAAGCTCACTGAAAAGGGCCGGTCTTATACATGGTTCACCGACTGCGACACCGCCTTTAAAAACCTCCGTACGGCATTATGCTCAGCGCCACTCTTAGCCCTTCCGAACGTTGACGACGACGCTCCCTCGTTCATATTAAATACTAATGCAAGCGGGTTCGCCATCGGGGATGTCCTGTCTCAAGTCAGTAAGGACGGCGTAGAACATCCAATTTGTTTCTCTAACAACACGCTGACTAAAACGCAGCGTAAATACTGCATCTTCAGTCGCGAACTGTTGGCGACCATCATGTTCATACGTCAACTTAAACACCTCCTTGTCGGCTGATGGTTCATCCTACGTACAGACCATCGTGCCCTACAGTGGCTGTGTTCCATCAAGGACCCTATGAACCAGATAGCATGTTGGCAGGAGTTTTGAAGGATTTTGGTTTCGAGTGTCACAAACATGCTAACGCGGACGCACTTTCAGGTCTTTCATCCACAACCAGCCTGGCAGATGAACCTCACGACGCGGCCTTTAACGCTATTATCGTTTCCGAACCCACCTATTACGCCTGGTCTCTCGCCCAGAGCTCCGACCCAGATACAGCCGTTATTTACCAACATTTTACCCAAGGGCTATCTAAACCCAGCGAACAAGAAATGCGTGGGACGAGCCAAAACGCACGCTTGCTGTTGAACCAATGGCCCTATCTAGTCGTCCTACACGACACCCTTTTCCTTCGCGATCCCTCATTCCACCATTTA